CACTGTGAGATTTTAGAAATCTTGTTCTTTAGTGACTTGCACTGTACATTTGAATAGCCGATTTTGTGCAGACAAAGGCTAAGATTTATATGTGAAAAACACAGCTTCTACAGGCAGCTGTATCTGCAGACAGTTTCGTCCAAAATAACATGCTGCGCACCAAGTACTCAACTCAGCAACACTGTTAACACTGTGTACTGAAGCTTAAAGTAGGCGGTACTGTACAAAGTAGGACAATACAGTCTCTCTACAGCCTATTTTACAAAAAAATCATCGTATAAACATTTATACCTCTCTATTGTATTCAGTAAAACACAGTAAAATCAGCATAGATGGACTTTGGCAGAAAAAGGTCAACTTTTTTCATCTCCATTTAGTTGACCTGTGTGTCTCCATGTGTACTGGAGAAACAGTCGTGATTGTGTTTTCTGTGTTTGTTCAAAGCGGGCTAAAATCACACAGTGTATTTCTGGCGAGAATCTGCAAAGGCAGAATGTTTCAAATGACTGACGCAGAGTCAGTAACTCTTCTCTGTGTGTGCAGACTCATCTTCACTGCGTTTGTTCATTAGCGTGGCAGTATACATTCTGCTGATGTCACAGCAGGTATCGGAATGTTGGTATCGGTGCATTTTTAACCCTTGTCTGGTGTTGGGGTCTGTGGGACCAATTTTCAATGTTTACTAAAAGAAAAAATCATACATTTATTATTATTTCAATCTCAGGTGCTGGAGCCTATCCCAGCGGTCATTGGGTAGAAGGCAGGATACACCCTGGACAGGTCGCCAGTCCATCGAGGGCTAGTACATAACAGTAAACATTAGGGGTGTTTCTTAAAAATCGATTCTTAGATGCATCGCAATGCGGACGTGAACGATTCTGAATCGGTTCACAAACGTCAAAAAATGACTACAGTGAACTCATTTCCATATAAATTAAAGCTTATTAATTCCTTTTCATCATTGCCATAGCATGCAATTTCAGGCTGTTTTGGAGGTCCCTCAGTTCAGCCTTGAATTTTAATATTTAAACAAAATTATTGGTTTTAAACTCTACTTCAGGGTGGCACAGTGGTGCAGTGGGTAGCCCTGTTGCCTCACAGCAAGAAGGGCCTGGGTTCAGTTCTCTGCCTGGGTGACCAGGGTGCTTTCAGTGTATAGTTTGTATGTTCTCCCTGTGTCTGCATGGGTTTCCTCCCACAGTCCAAAGACATGCAGTCAGGAAAATGGGTCATGCTAAATTGCCCCTAGGGATGTGTGTGGATTAATCTGTCTGTCTGCCCTATGATGGTCTGGTGATAATTTAATTTTAATTATGTTTTGAATTAAACTCTTTTGTGTAATATTTGATCATATTAATAAAAATATCAGATGAGTTGCTACTCGGAGGCCTAAAGAAAGGGGTTAATACTTAGAAGTTGAGAGTTGTTTAACTATACTATTTAATCTCTTTACATTCTGTATTGATAGGCTTGAGTCTGCACTTATGACTATTTCAATTTGTGTTCAAGTGAAGGAGGGACAAAAATTTTATATTTTCCCTGCAGTACATAATAAAAAAAAATATCTCTGCTTCAACTCACAAACACAAACCTGGTGCTAATTGAAAGTTTAGAATCTGCACTTTCATCAATTTATCCACTGTTTTCAATGAACTATAAGTGAATGAATTTTTTGGTATTCATTTTTGTTGTAACTTTTGTTACTGCAAATGATAACTGTGTCCTCTATGGGTTAAACATTTTAAAAATATTTTAGCAATACTCCAATAATAAACCTATAACTATGATCATTTTGGTCACTGATACTATGATAGGAAATTTTCATACCATCCTATCCCTTGTCTGGAGAAAGGGCCTGTAGGGAGCGGCTCGGGTTGGGTTGCGGCTCTTTCCAGAGAAAGGTAGTAGTTATGGTTGTAGCAAAGATGGGAGCTGCATCCAAGGTTTCTCAGGCTGAGAGAATAAATAGAAGGGGTAGGAAACAGAGGAGCTTTTTTTTAGTTTTTTTTTTTTGCTAGTGAAACCCAACCCTGTTTTAGATCAATGCACGTTTATCTGCGCTGACCTCAGTTGGTCACTCTACCTCGAAGGATTCTTCGTGAAGGAAATGTGCAGGCCGCAAACAAGCCTGACATTGTGTTGGTGTGGTCTGCATCTTTGTCAAACAACAAAGACTTTCAGCACACCGAGGAAAACATATCAGGATACTGTCTGCTGACTGAGGTCTTTTACAATGCAACCTTTGGTAAACATCTCTCAGAACTCAAACACAACTAATATTGCAATGTACTGAAACACATACTCCACTACATATTACATATTGTAACTGTAAGGGGGGTGCATACAAATTTAATTAAAAAAAAAAAACATTATTCAAAATTTTGATTGATTGATGAACATTGAAAGGTAAGACAGAACCACAATTTTGACTTCATGCTTTTTCCTCCGCTCAAATGAAACGATGTTCAAATTTGCTTTGTCAAATAATATAATGCAGTTCCAGTATAAGCAAAAACAAAAGGGTAGCAGGAACAACTCGTTTGAATTGTAATTTCTGATTAAAAATATTAGTGCAACATGTTACATTTGTGTGGGAAAAACTGTCCTTGTCTACAATACAAGTGAGAAGAGGTCATATGATGTTTGTGTGGATTTATGACCACTTTTAATCTTTACATTACCATTATCTAACCTTGCTTTATCCCTTACAGTTCAACATGCTGCTTTTACTGTGTCTTTAATGTTGATATATAAAAATGAGCTCTCTTCTGATTGGCTGCCCTGTTTTGTGCCTCATTCAAAAAGCAGCCCGATGTGAAACACTCTCTATAACTTGTGAATGGACAGAGCTAAACTGCTGTAGACTGAACAGCCAGGTATATGTAAATACACTGGGTTTTGTGTTAGTGTATTCAAAATGGGTTGTTCTGCAGCTTGGTTCCTATTTATGGACTGTATGAAGTGGGGAGTGAATGGTATGTTTTCAAAATGTAACAATATTTATATACTACATAAAACTTTCATTTCACAAAAGTGAAGAAAATTTGCTTTTCCAAGATCTGGACCCTTTCAAAAAATATCCTACCTGTGGAAATCTAATCTGTGTCCTCTAGTGTTCAATAACTTTCCATGTCTCTGAAGCTGTTTCCATAACAGCTGGGCTTTTGCTGGATGCGGTGCAAAAATGCGAACCTTAACCTTTCAACATTTGTTGTGTTTTTCCTTTTTTTTCACATCACAACTGATCATCTGTGCCAGGGCAGTGCTGCTGGTTTCAACTGTTCTTATCAGCTCTACATAACACACATACTGGAAATTAGGGAGCTCAAGTACAGGATTCTGAATGTGAGTTACTTTAAATAATTCAATGTTGTAAGTTTGTAAGTTTTAAAAGATTTAGAAAGATTTAGTTTTTATCAAGAGTTTAATTTTTCAATAAAAAAACTTTATTCAGAAAATGCTGTACCATGTTTTCATGTCATGTCAATTTTTGTGTTTTAATGAAAAATATTATGATTTTATGTGTGTACAAATCTGTGTTTGCTAGTCATGTACTGGCTATTGTTATAAGTTATGCTCAAAATTAGCTAAAATTGTCACTACCAAAACATTTGTTAAAGTTTTGTAAGTGTTATGATTGTTTTGGTAGTGACACAATGATTCAATCATTTATGTTAATAAAATTAACATAATTAAGGCATAAGGTTATTGAAAACAAAAGGATTTTACTCTAAAGTCCAAGTTAGTTTAAGTGTGCTTTTAATTCTGACTTTGAACCATGTCAGTAAAATGGTCTATATATATATTAGGTAGTTTATTAGGTAGTCCTACCATTATCTACACTCACTGGTGATTTTATCAGAAGCATCTACCATACAGGTGCACAACCACTTGGCACTTTATAATCATGCCAATCCAAAGCACCATTTTTTCAGTTTAAATATCCTTTCAGCCCCATAGCATTGAGTTGTCTTCTCACAGCGGAAAGATGGACAGAAACACCTGTGGATTCTTTCAGATCTGAAGCAAGAGTGGAGCTTGATTTTCTCCTGTAACTCAAAGATGAAAACTTTCAGTACTATTTCTCTGATAGTGACTCTTCTGGTGGTCTACCAGATCGTCTGTCGTTGTTTTCTATATATCTTTTAACAGGTTTTTAACTACAGCTCAACAAATGTTTACTTATTTTCCTCTGACATCTTCTTCCTCATACAACTGGATTGTCTCATATCTACCCTCTTCAGAAATATCACTTTTAACCATTTTAGACACACATTTTGCAAAGCAGCTGAGGTGTGTTTAAGTAGCTGCTTGTGTGAATGTTTTTGTGTGAAGGGTAGCAATGTCAATGTCTCCTTTACGAACAGCTTTTATTGGGAGGACACAGTAATTTTACTAAATTTGCTGATCTTAAGACTGAAAGGATGGAAGAGTTAAAGTGGCAGCAGTGTGCACTAAAGTAGGGAGTGGACTAATTAAACACTGACAGATTCGATATTGTACTTAGTGCTGTAGGATTTTGTGTCATTTCTGGTTAAATATGTTCCCCTTTTTGTCCATGTACTGAAAAAACAACAACTTGCACTTAAGACCTGTTTTGACAGGAAATTAAATAAACAAAAGGGATGGTGATCCCGCGCTTCTGCACAGTATTGTGTACAGTAAAGAAGTAAAGAATACACATTTATTATATAAAAGATATACAATATATGCGTATATACGATATATCTTACACATGGGCGAAAAGGATTCGGAGTCAAGAGAGCTCCAAAAGAGCCTTTTACTGACCTTTTCAGAGACTAACAGTGTGAGAGAATGTGGGTGAGACGCCCTCTTCTTGTGCAGATTGGCGTTGCAGAATTAAGCCCTGCCTGTCTGATCTCTGTCCTTAAAGCTTGTGTTTCTTGTGGGAGAAGATTCAGCCAATCCCGTCTGAGTGACGCTGGAGCGAGGCTGGACCGAGCGGCTCCACCATATACACACTCACACCCACCCACCCACCCAAACAGCAGCACAGTCCGGGGAAGCGGTCACTCGGGCAGAGCAGCAACTGTGGACGGACAGAAACATTCTCATCCTCTTAGCGCTGCTTTTCTACTCGACGACGTCTTCTAAATTTGCGCGTGAGAAATGTAAAACTCTTTGGGCGCGTGTGTGGCTCTGCTCGAGGAGAAATGCAGCGCTTCTCTTCCTCAGCCTGCTCGAGCTGATTAACGGCTAGCATCGCACTCGCGCGCTAAACAAGCCTTGATTTTTGTGGATACAGAAACGGACTCAGCTATAGACCCAACAAACGGACAGAACTACAGAATCAACGGCTAAAACAAAGGACAGAACTACAGAGTCAACGGCAAAACCAACGGACAGAACTACAGTCAACGGCTAAACCAACGAACAGAGTCAACCGTTAAACAAACGAACTGACCTAGCTAGCTATTTCTCTTAAGAGTCAACGGCTAAACCCGCGGACTTAGCAAAGTCAACAGCTAATCCAACGGACTGAACTAGCTAGCTATATCGCTAAAGTGTTAAAGTGAAATTCAGTTGAAAGAGTCAACGTGAAAGAGATTAACTACCTATATTAACGTTTTACCTAACGTTAGCTTTTTCTCTAAAAGGTCAACGGCTAAACTAACGGACTGACTTAAACAGTCAACGGCTAATCAATCCCTCGTTTTTGTTTCAGAGTGAACTGAACTTTCATACTTAAGTGTCCACAGCTGCCTCAGTCAGGCACTGAAGTGCGAATATTTGCCTCTTTTTCTTCCGGTGAGTCTACCAGTCCCATTGCAATATACAGGCTGAAAAATGGAGCTCCACGTCTTCGCTTTTACACTTTTCTCCAAAACTTACCAATACTTGAACATGGTGCACGTTTAGACGCTGTTCCGTCCAACCAAATCTGTCGATGTCTCCAGCCTCCTCCTCCTACCCCTCCTCTTTCCACCTGCCCTCAAGATTGTCCAAGACTCGTCTCGCCCTGGATTATAAACCGCTCCCAGCTGGACGCTGTGTTTGAGCTGAGAGTATTTAAAAGGCATTTCTCCCTCTCTCTCTCGATCCTGGAGAGCGTGCACCATCACCATCATCATCAACAGCAGCAGCATGGCCCGTGCGCGCTCGCGCTGCCGCTGAGGGTGGGCGCGCGCCTTGTGCGCTCTCTGTGCCATGTGTTAGTGCGCGCGCTCGCGCTCCCGTACCGCGCAGACATGATCCTGTTCCGCAGGTTCCGCGTGCTCATACTCACCGTCTTTCTTGTGGCCTGCAGCGTGCACATCGTCATCGATCTGTTGCCCCGGTTGGAGAGGCGTAACAGCAGCACGAGCAGCAGATCACCGCAGACCCCCGCGTGCTCGTGCCCGCGCGGCCCTGGCGAAGAAGCGCCCGGATGGGCCGCGTGGCCCAATAAACATACGCTCAGGCTGCTGCAGGACTTCAGCAGCGAGCCAGGCTCCAACCTGACCTCACACTCGCGCGAGAAGGCCAGCACGGCCGAGGCGCCCAGCAGAGTGGACAATCAGCATCAGAATCATCAGCAGCAGCAGGATCAACGCGCACGGCCACGACTGGAAGGCCACGAGAGGAGAGGAGACCATGAGACCGCCTTCAGCAGGAGACCAACGGCTAAAGGCTCTAGACTGCACGCGCTGTTCGAGCACCCGCTCTATAAGAGACCTCTGCCCACACTGACCGAGGAAGACACTCTGTTCAACGTCAACACTGATATCAGATTTGACCCCAAAGCTGCAGAGAACCAAGAGTGGTCAGTAGTCCCCAATCTCTTTCTCTCTCTCTCTGTCTCTCTCTCTCTCTCTCCCTCTCTCTATCTCTCTCTCTCTCTGTATCTATCTATCTATCTATCCATCTATGTTCTGTTTGTTTCTCTCTTTCTACTTTTTTCTCTCCCTTTTTTCTCCATCTCTCTCCCTATACATCTTTTGCCAATAAACAAATAAACATTAAAGACTCATGACATTTATTATTTATAGGGCAAGTACACATTTGTCAATTCCAAGTATAATGCATACACATAATTAGTATATAAAATACAAATTGTTAATTTATTTTGTGGTCACGTTTTAAATCAAGCATATTTGCTATAAAAACATTATTAACATATCATGATAAAACCATAATTAATACTTAAAAATAGGAAAATACAAAAAAGTACTATTATATCACTATATAGTACTAACCTTTTCTAATGATAGTGAAAATGATGAGTAGCTAAGTAATAATAATAATAATGGCACAATCCCTTATTCAGAAATGATTACAGTATCTCTGGCCTCTAGACTGTTACACTGTATATTCTAGATCTCCAAGGCCTGTCTCTTGGCTTGTGAGTTGTTTAATTTAATGTTTAATATGCGTCCTCAGTTTTGAACATAGTCAATCAGGACTGTACAGCAGATCCACTACTGCTTCTATCAAATGAGTGTGCACATGTGTGTTCTCTCCACAGGCATGGGCAGGAGAAGGATGGAGATTATGCTCCTACAGGTGATCTCTCCTCAGATTCTTATCCAAACTGGCTCCGTTTCCACATCGGGATAAATCGCTATGAGCTCTACTCCAGACACAATCCGGTCATTGATGCCATGCTCAAGGACCTGGTTACCCAGAGAATCACCAGCGTTGGTAAGTAGGGCTGCACAATATATGGTTTGTTCATCTTCATTGAGATATTGGCCTCTGCTGTGCTGATATCCAAGGAGTCTGCAACATGCAAACGAGCTTCTGTTTAATCATGGCATATGCCGTGAGCATCCTGATCAATCATAGATGGTCTTTGAGTGTTTGGCTGAATCAAGCCATTCATATGAGTAAAAATGTGTTAAAAATAATACAGTCTTTAATTCACTCTGCTTTTAATCTAATCTTTGACCCTGTCACTAAGGGTTCAGTGATGTGTTTGTAATATATTGCAAGGTGTATAGCAATCACAATATATAGCAATATAAGCATAATATGATTGGAGCATTTTGTCCATATTATGCAGTCCTTTTGGTTAGCCACAGCTGCTGGCTGGCAGTTACAAGATTTCATGCGTGCTGTGACAAAAAACAAAAAAAAAGAAATAGTTGTCAGACCTTAAATTGTGACAGATTTTTTATTTATATCTGTATAAACTCATGTTGCCTTTTTTAGTTTTATCAGTGCTTTTTGTTTGTGTAAATGTAGGTTTTTTGGCTCCTTCTCTTTAAATACCACATCCAAACCACAGTTTGATTTTTAGACCTAACCCTCAAAGGTATTCAGTCAAGAAGAATGCACAGTTTAAAGTACAACAACTGTTGGCCTGGTTGTACTGTCTTATACAAAATCTAACAGTGATTGTTGGGGTGTGATTTCGGCAGAGCCCACACACATTCTTGAATCGAACAGATTATAGTTGACTAATTTATTGTATACAAGGGAAAATCAAAGAGATCAAACAGATGCCATCAGATACGGTTATTCTTTCTCTGTGGGGAAAAGAAGGACATTTTCGTAATCAAAACTCGGTCAGGTTTAATAGCCTGTCTAGTTACTTTTCCTCAGTGTCTCTGTTTTCTTTTCCCTTAGCTATTCTGTACACAGAGGCCCTTGTGCTAAGTCCTTATCAGCTCTTCCCAAAGGAACAGTGTGTCCATCCAAAACACACTTATTGCATTTTTGTTTTCAACCTCATGTAATCAGATACAGGTGATGTGCTATCTGCACTATGAGGGGAGGCAAGCAGCATCTTTTGACTTTAATAACAGGCAATAACTGTCTGCCCTGAATGCGTATTCCCATTGACTTACACTTCTTCCAGCTACTACTTAGGTCAGTGTCAAGCTGGCTTTACATGGTAAAAGTTTAGTTGCTTGAAACTCACCTGAAAATCAATGTCACTTACGTTCCATAATGTAAAGCCTCTTGCAACTGATTTAAAACTGGTTTGAAACTGATCTACAGTAGCTGCAACCATCTCAACTTGCCGACAACTGTCTCAACCGTTTCGACTTGCTGACACATTGTGGACAAAAAAACAAAACATTTTCATTGAATATTGTAGCTTTTTTGTTTGTAACTAGTTAGTTTTATTAGCCACCTAATGATATCATGGTAGCTGTTCATATGGCTGCCAGCTTAGTCCTGCTTTGTAAGCCTGCTGTAGCCGATCTTGTTCTATGTAGCCTGGTTACTGATGTGTTGCTCTGTTGACATAAAAATTAAACAAAGATACAAATGTGGGCTAAATAACACATCATATATGATTTCATGAGGACAAGACAGATCTGATACATGAAAAATACTAGCTAATCCTGCTAACTAGTATAATAAGCAAATTTAAATGAGTTATACAAAACAAAAATTCAGTCATGCTTCACACAACTTGCAAACAGCTTAACTAGTAATATGAAAGTTTCACAATGTACAGCCAGTGTTAAGAATGAGACTGTCAGTTTTGGCTATAGCATCACCCTGTTTTCTCATTTTGTTTTTTGTTTTTTTGTATTTTTGCAGCCATGAAATCTGGAGGCACTCAGCTGAAGCTCATCATGACATTCCAAAACTATGGCCAGGCACTCTTCAAACCTATGAAGTAAGTACATTTGATGATTTTTGATGTCATCGTGTTAATGTGTGTCATGGAAAAGAAGTGAATTTTACGTTATTAAACAAAAATAACGGTGTTAGAGTTACCACTGCATCTTGATTCTGTTTGGAATTCATGACACAGTGTTTTATGTGTGTTGTGTGGGTTGAGCAGAAGTGTTTCTGCTTTGGCAAGCTATTTCAGTAGAGTTTATCCTGCCACTTCAGACCATTTCTACCATGTAAAATCTGTACCCCCATTGTTTTGGGAGGTACAGTTTTAGCACTGTTGCTCCATGTAATTTGGACACGTTTTTTTATATGCATTTAGTGACGTGCTTGGATCTGGGCCTCTAATAGAGGATTTATAGTTGCCTTCAAAGAGGGTTACAGGGGGTGGTTCATTTCTAATCAAAAATAAAAGCCACAATAGGAGGGTTACTGTTTGTGGATTTGACATCCCCCTCTGAGCAAATAATAGTAGGCTCCCTGTAATTTTCTGAAGCTATAAATGGCAGCAACTATATCATCTCACTGTCAGATGCATTTCTATCTGCTTGTGCAAGTTGCTACTCTTAGTTCTGTTCAGTAGACAGTGCAGGTGGCCTTGCTGGTGAGACAGTATTTTACAGTCATTCTCTTCTCTCACAGTGGTGTAGCCTAGCTGGATTATGTAGCTCCACATTGAGCAATTTGGGCTTCTGCAACAGTAGTATTTGCAGGACATAGGCCTGGTTGATAGTGAGGGATGTAAGAACACAGGTTTTGCTTGAGTTCTTCTGCCTCTGTAGTGCTATACTCCTCTCTTATCATGGATGTAAATATTCCCATATAATAAATACTGCCAAATGGTATGCTTAATTCCATTTACGTGCATAGCCTAGCGTTAGAATTTGTGAATATGTGTGTACTTCGGAAAACTGAGGAATGCACCGATATGGACATTGTAGGCCAATGTCGATGTCTGGGACTTTCCATATACGGTATCTGCCCATGGCGATAGCACTGCTGATACGTAAACATTTATAAAATGTATAAATTTGGACTAAATGCACTTTATGAAAGCGGTCAACTCAGATTTGTTGCTGTCAGTCCTGCACATAATACACCTTCTTTTTGGACTCTGATATTTTTAGTGAGGACCATGTTTTGTCTGCTTTTTCACATAATTAGATATGTTGAGTCAGTTAAAAACAAAATGGATGTGAAAAATATGTCTTCTAAACATAGCTGTAAATAGTCACTATCTGTGTTTATACACCTGCATTTGAGTAAGAATATACATCAGGTTACATATTGCATGCAGCCATTTGAGTAAAACAAATATGTCTCCCACAGGCGATGTGTTGGGTTTGTGCTTTGGGAATATTTAGGACAGATGAGAACAATGGGCCTTTAGTGAGAAGCTACATAGATAAATGTTATTAGAGTGCAAGGATCTGCATGCAGTCTGGTGCTGCTATAATTAGCACAAAGCAAACAAGCTAGTCTCACTTCCCCTGGAAGCCAGACCTCTTTCCAATGGCTTTATTTTTAAGATAAGTCATTTCAAAAAACATCTCATAATACACTGGTGTATGTTTTCAGCAAAAGTTCAGGATGTTTTGATATTATTCATTGTTGAAGATCCAGCTTGTACACTCTTAAAGATGAAGCAGAGATACCATAGAAGAACCGCTTTAAAGGTTTTAAACAAAGTGAAGGTTTTTTTGACAACTGCACATCCATGCAAAGAACCATTTAGGAACCTTCATTTTTAAGAGTGTGTGTTTCTTGGAGAAGGCAATAGTTGAACAGCATTAGATTGAGCAGCATGGGGTGAGTGAATCATTAATTTTTTTTAGTTTTAAATGAACTGCAGAGATGACCAGGCAGAGCTACTGTCATCCTTCCACATCCTGTAACTTTGCCAGTCAAATCAAATCCACAACTCCTCCAGCATGACCAAACAGCAGCTTACATCCGCCTGTCTACCCAGATTTCTCACCCACAGTCTGAAACAGAAGCAGAACTTACCCCATTTCTTCAACCCTTCCAGTATAGACATGCCTACTTGCAACATATGTGGTGCAGTGAATCAGGCTGCTAAAGATGATTCATGCTTGCATGCTCATGTTTGCCGTACAGTGATAGTTCACTTCAGCTTGGCCTCAAGTGATTGCATAATGAACTGAAATCCCCTGAAAGGCTTTGAGTGTGACATTACTCAGTGGAATTGTTTCCTCCAGGAACTTTTTTCCTGCAGCAGCTTTAAAGGAATAGCTTGACTTAACATGCTAATGTGGCTAACAGTGAAGAGAAGCTTGTAGTATCATTTGTAGTATCATAATGCTAACTAGTGCCTGTTTTTTTCATTGGTTATTAGCAACATGAGCTTTTTGACTGAACTATCCCTTTAAGGCATCTGAACAGCAGCAGTGATGCTACATGACACCCAAGATTGCAAAAATGCATCAAACAAGTTGGAGATTGGACTGATAGGATATTAAATTATGAGAGGGCTAGTTGTAGTCATATATGCCTGATTGAAATCACTCATTCTATAGTAAAATTAGGACAAAAATAACAATATGCTGCTGTTAACAGAGAAGCAATGAGTCATTGAGAGTTTCATTACTTCAATAGCTAAAACTTTCTGAGGTATTTCTTCAGAATGGCCGTGCCTCTTCTGTGAAACAAAGAGACAGAGACACAATAATACAGTTGTTCTCCTGTGCCTCCATTGTTTGACATCTTCCTCTAGATGCCACATGACTGGCGCACATCTGCTATATAACACACTCTTTTTTGCCCACACAAAAGTTTCCTCTTGTAGCCTACATAAGTAAAGCTTGAAATGTTTGTCCAAACCTGACAGGACCCAACTGCTTACGTCATGTTTGTCCATGGTCGGATGTTTTTCCAAATATGTGTCATGCTCAGGTTGGGTTCATGTTCAGGTTCTCACAGTCCACCTCTCAATTTTAACAGATTTAGAGTTGGCCAGAAGCATTGCTTGATGAATAAATTAGTTAAAGAGGAAATTAATCTTGACATTGGACAGCTAATTTTTAGTAAGTATGTGCAGGACATAGGCCTGGTTCATACTGAGTGATGAAGAACACAGGTTCCTCACAAGTTCTTCTGCCTCTGTACTGGTATAACTTATCTGTTATGGTGGATGTGAACATTCCCAAATAATAAATATTGCCAAATGGTATGCTTAATTCCAGTTATGTGCATAGAGTAGCGTAAGAAATTGTGAATATGCATGTATATCAGAAAACTGAGGAATGCACTGATATGGGAACTGTGGGCCAATGCCGGTGATATTTTCCATGTGTGGCATCTGCCGATGGCAATAGCACTGTTGATATATTTATAAAATGCAGAAATTAGGACTAAATCCACCTGGGTTAGTATCATACTGAAATGTCACATTTTTATGTAAGGTTACAAATGCAGTAAAATGAAAAAATGCAGATATTTTAGTTATGTTAACTGTCTGCTTTCTTTGCGTACAATAAATACGACACAAAATACTGGTCTGAAATATCATACAAGTTTAAACTTAAAATTGAAAGAGTAAACTAATCTTGATTTTTTTTTAATATCATCTTATTTTATGTTATTTTTTATTTTATTTATCCATGATCAAATGACTGCTTTCATTAGAACAGACGGAATTTTTCAGACAGAAATTTGTTGGTTTGGGTTATTTTGGGGCTCTTGATGTTGTGGGCTAGGTCACATCAGGTTCGGACTCAGACCACAATGCCGTGTGTCAGGTCGGAGAGAGCTTGGATAGGCTGTATTTAAGTTTGGACCAAAATTTCAGGCCTCTGTTCATGAGTAATAATTGACCTATATGTGCATTACCCACAAATTTGTTCTTTCATAGCAACTGTTACAAGATTGAAAACCTGTTAGAATTTTCATTATAGAGTGTATTAACCCCTTAAAATCTCAGGCTTATTACATACTAAGTCTTGTTATTCAGGAAAACAGGGACTTTCTCAGGTTATATAAATGTGAAATACAACTTCTGGCCAACCTGCGGGCCCTGGCCATTTAAGGGGTTAATTTCATATCATTACACCCAATCTAGACAGGGTAGCTTGAGTGTAGTTTTTTTGTCAAGTAATGATGCTAATGTTAGCATGGTGTCTACAGCTTTCTAGTTTTCATTAGATACAACAGCATAGCCCAGCTTGGTAGTGTAGCTTTTTTAACTGGAAAATAAAGGTGGGCAGTATGACATTATTTTATTGTTATCATGATAAATTTTGTTAGAGCTAGAAACTGTGCTTCTCTGAGCATATCATGGATATCGTCAATACTTACCGGCCGCATGTTTCATTAGAAAGAAAGCATAGTTGCTTCTGTTTAATTGGAATTTAGTGCAGCACAGAATGTAAAATGTTAAATAGATAGCAATACACCCTGTTTTTGATAGCAGTTTTTAAATATATAACTACTAGTACATTGTGTCCATGTGTCAAAATGTTGTGAAACGTCATGTATCGTGAAAAAGTATTGTGTTGCAATATTTTTGCCATATCACCCACCCATAGTGGAAACCCTAAACAAAGATCATTATAATTTCTTTAATGGGGATTTTCGTCAGCATTTTGGTAAAGCATGTCCGACTTTGCAACTGTTGTTATTTGTGGGCAGGGCATAGATAGGTCCATAATTAAATAGATAGGTCCATAGGTAGGCATAATTAAAGTACATTTGATATGTGATTATAGAGCTGCATATTGCAGTATGTTGAGTGCTGATTCTAAACAAAGCAGAATGTTTGCCTGTTATCTCTTTCCATTGGGAGCGCCATTGATGTTGATCCCTTTGTGTGGTTGACTACTGCAGCTCAGCTGTCTTTCATAGGAGTCACACTGCTTTACCAGCACTGACTTGATTCATAAATAATTAGCACTTCCGCAGTCACACAACAGGAGATTTTGGAAAAACACACCGCCATTGATTTCAATGTTTTCATGAGCGGAGTCGTAGTGTAGCTCTGCG